CAACCATAAGGCCGAGGCCTCTACGTCCTGGAAGATTGGATTGGATTGGATTGAACTGAATTTGAATTTGACCTGAACTGAAGGTCATACTGGGGACGTATTTATGTTCGCCCTTTGTATCCGCTCAGGCATCGGTTCGGTTACCCGCGTCTCCCGGTCCATCGCGAGAATGGTATTTTGGTTTACTTCTTTACTTATTTGATATGTTTAGGCTTCCGCTGGTGAAGAAGACACGATATATAAATATTCGGCTACTACGATCGATGGGGAGACAATTAAATTGGATAAATACAAGTAATTTCATATTCCGTAACCTCGTGACATATATAGGGGTCGTGTTTGCTTGATCGTCAATGTTGCGTGTAAATGAGGTTTGACTGATAAGAACTATCGCCAGTTACAGGATTTGCACACACGCCTGTCTGGCCAAGGCCTGAGCATTTTAGCGTTTCCCTGCAACCAGTTCGGCGGTCAAGTGAGATTATTCCATATTGGTGATACCTTTAGGAACCGTGGTCTGAACCTGAGATAAAAAAGCATGTCACTGAGAAGTACAACGTACAATTCGATATGTTCAGCAAGATTAATGTCAATGGTTCCGACGCTCATCATCTGTTCGTATTTTTGAAAAGCAAACTCAAGGGTACCTTGTTTGAGTAAGTAAGAGCTTCGTGTCACTCAGATGTTCAGTGCAATTAAATGGAACTTCGCTAAATTCTTAGTAGACCGTGAAGGAGTTCCTGTCAAACGTTACTCGCCGCAAACAGACCCTTTGGTAAGTTACTAATCACTTTTGTTCTGGCGGAAGCCTGTCTCCTAGATCGTGGATTGATCTCCCTACCATAACAGCTAACTGGACTCAAATAGGTATAGGTGTATATAGTTATCTACCTCTAATTTTATTTTGCTCAAAATCAGTCTTAATTGTTCAGTATCTTCGGCCGTACTGGCACACCACTGGTTTGATTATTAATCTCAACACTAAATGTAAACTATCTCCACGCTGGGGTATTAGTTTTTGTCTATTTTTCGAGCTGTGTGGCGGTGCTTCGCTTCTTATTCTGTTATAGGGGTTTTTTCGGCATTCATCTGTTGTTTTCATTGGTTATATCCCAGTTCGCCTTCGAATTTGCACTGAGGAGCCTTTTGTTCGTCTTTGGTAAAAGTGACTCGAGCTATTAGTATGTGGTGCTAAATAACGGCCACGCAGAAATGTCAGCAGTTTTATTGGGTCATGATGACATCCCGCAACAGGAATCTCCAGGCCTTGGTTTGAACATCAAGCCGCAAGATGTTATTTTCGCAAATTCTATTCTATCTATTCGTTCGGAAATAGATAATGCTTCCTTAACAATCTAGTA